CTCTTATTGATTGAGTCACTCCACCAGCTGAGGTTATCTTTTTTATGTTAAACATGTTTTAAAATTATTTAAATAGGCACAGTGATATAATTAGTAAAGTTATATAACAGCTGAGTAGCTAAAATACCAGCACTCATCACTTATTTCTGAAAAAAAATCAGTAAAAATACTCAAATAGAATTTCCCTTTTAAAACCATGAAACCATGCTTTTTACAAAGATACTTTAAGGAGAAGAGGGTACTGAGGTCCATACAAAACAACAAAGGTGCTTTTAATTAGACTTAGGAAGGAACTGGAGTTTGTACTTTATAAAACTTTTTTGGTTGAAAGGCAGTAGATGTTTACTTTAGAACTTTTCAGTGCTGAGAATTGAACCCAGGGTCTCATGCATGCTCAGCAAGTTCTCTACCACTGAGCTATACTCCTAGAACATTTTTAAATATAGAAAAATGCGGAGATGAGGTAGTTCACTCATATTTTCATGATCTGAGATGATCATCAAAAAGTTTTAGTGTTTTCTTTCTGGTCTTCATGTACATTTCTTATACTGTATAGTTGTAATGCCTTTAATCATGCTGTACATACTATTTATTAAGGAGAAGGATATAAGGTTTTGCTTAATATTTTTATCAATTATTTTAAAAATGTTTATAATATTAATACTTGATAAAAATTTCCAACTGTGCAGAAGGAACAAAATAAAAAGAAAAGCTACTGTCCTATGGCCCATTCTACTTCCCAGTGGTAACCACTGATAAACTACAGATGCAGAGATCATGTTTTTCAAACAGATACTCTTAATAAATTATGGGCTATGAAGAGACACCTGCCCTTCTTTAGTGTCCTCCCTGGGAAGTGCTGTTAGATCTCATTTGGTCTGACTGGCTGTCAACAACACCAAGAATAAATGTTAAGAAAAAACACCTGGCTCTACTGTCAGTGAAGGTTAGATTAGGAAAACAGAAGCAAGAGTTATGAAACAGATGCTCCTGAACCTATGAGAAAAGCCTGGATGAAGTCAGTAAATCCACAAAGGCACACTAGTCAGCAATGAGGTATACAATGAGGGATAGTAAGAACAATAGCTATTTGGTATACTATACTAAAATGTGATGTTTCTATCCTTTGTAGAAGTGGGTTAAACATGAAGGAAAAAACAGAAAGATAGAAGACAACTATAGATTAAACAAATATATGTACCATAGTTTGGTTTGAACCCCTAAATTCTGTTTTCACCTCTTGTCACATGCGCCATCTTGTGGCGACTCCAGGGCATTTATTTTAAACTGTTAGGTTTAGTTACGCTCTACAGTTGTAGCAAGGGAAACACAAGGTTTGTATTAACTTATCACTGTTTGTATTTGGTTATGAATCAGTGCTATTCTCCAAAAACATAACACAGTGAATTCACTACTGTAAGCAAAATAAGATTTTTAAAATTCACTCCAGTGGTTACTTACTAAGAAAATATCTAAAATGGGTAACATATTCTCAATAAGATAGGAATGACTATCCAAAAATTTACTTGTAAGCAGGAACTTCAAGTTCAATTTTTATGAAGAAACAATGTTAAACTGGTGGTGACCACGTTCCAAAACAAAACAAACTCAAAAAGCAAAATTTTCTGTCCCAGAAATATTATTCTAGGCAATGTAATGGGAAGACAAAACAAAACAAAATTAGAACATAATACTGTAGTGTGATTCACTTTTTAAGAAACTATAAATTACATTAAAACACAGACCATGGTGGAGACAGATATATACAGGCTGCAGGCCAGAGTTGCTTGACTCTGAACTCAAACAAGAGTTCCTCCTGGGGTTCTGAGTAAAGCAGCTGCCGACACAGGATGGTGGTGGTGAGATTATTTCTATAGTAATCACACCACAGGGTAAAGAGGAGAGGAGGTCCCATGGGCTCTAAAGGTTTAGAAGTTATCCTTCTCCACTGGAGAGAGAGATGTTGATGGGAACACGTGTACTAGGAATTGCCTGGGAATGGAGCAATATTGCTAAAAGAGGAGTTACTCTTATTATTTAATTTTGAATGCTTCTGAGTATGTCTTGGACCAGATCCAAATGAGTTTGGCTCTGGGAAATGTGGAAAGCCTATACACAAACACCTCAGAAACATAAAAGCATGACTTTGGTGAGGCTCCCCCATAATCACATCCTGATAACCTCAGAAATCACTGCAGTGACTTAGTTATTTGGAGCATGGCCTCACATTTGGTCGTAAAATGCTCATGCATTTTTCTCTCAAACTCTCTCAGAGAACACAGACAATTACAGCAAACGCTGATCTATGTTCTATTTTGTGCTCTTTTTTTGAGAATTGGCAGTAAGAATGCACAGTAACTGAAGAAACTTTCAGAGGGTGTCTTCTGAGATCCTATTTAATTTCGTTCTACTCTGTTGCCTTCAGCACCTGTATAACTGGACCAAGTGAAGCACTGAGCTATCTTTCATATATCTAATTCCCTTCATTTACTACTGTGTAAAAGTAGTTTTAGATTTATAACAAATAATGGCTGAATCACCCTGTGCTAAGCAAAATTTCACAACTATTACTCAAAGAAACCTTTTTCCCCCTCTTTTTATTAGTGTATATTAATTGTACAAAGGGATTTCATTGTGATATTTTCCATACATGCATATAATGTACTTTGATCAAATTCATCCCCTCTATTAACTCTTTCTTACCTCTCTTCCCTCAAAGAAACATTTTAATCACAATGTTCCTATTTCTGGTTTTGGGAAGCTAGCTAGCTGTTTTGCTTCAGTAAAAGATAATTTTATTGATTTTCAAAAAATCAAACACTATCAACCTATTAATAAATGAGACAACAGATAATTTTCACAATTCAGTATTGGGGATAAAAATAATGTATCTTCTTGGGCCCAAGTGAGGGTTTTTAATAAATCTTGATTAAACATTACCCTTTTTGAGAAACTTCCAACTTAAGCTAGATAGCCTAGAAATTAAATTTCAATCTTAATAAGCTTGATGCTGTAGCTCTTTAACCTTTAATTAATAACTGCTTCTCTTCCTACCTTGGTGTTTCCATTTCCAATCAGTAACACATGGAACAGGTTGGTAATGTAGCTGTCCAGCATGTGCTGGTGGTCATTGGTAACAGTCATGTTTGTTAACAATCTCAGTCCAGCCAGCTGCACAGCAGAGTTCAGGGGACCAGAGAAGACATCCTCACAGACTTGGTTGATATATATCTGAAGGCAAAGGGGGAAAAATGAACACATTCATCTCCCAAAACTTCTGTTGAACAATCACTTTTCCATACAATGAACTAGGGTGATTGCTCAGGATGGAACTGACTCCCCCATAAAGGTGACATTTTTATCTGACCCTCAAACTTTGGTGACTTTTTGAAAGCTGCATTTGTTACTGCCAGGCAGTATGCTGAGCACTGTGAGCATATACCTCCCTTAATCCTGAAGACAACTCTCAATGGAGGTGGATATTAGGGTGGCCATTTCACAGCCAACGGCTTTAAAGTCTTCAAGGAGCTTGCGTCCCCTGCACAATCTCAGCCAGCAGTTGGGGGGAACAATGTCTAAGTCCAGGGATCATGTTCTCAACACCAGTCACCTCTCTTTTATAAGGTCTTCCAACTCAGTCCACCTTTCTGTTTCTATTGGTCTAGGCACATCAGGATCAGGAAGGAAGATGTATGGGGCCATTTTGCATCATGTCAGAAGTAAGGAATCGGGGGACAACATAAAACAATTTTCTTTGGAATTTATTCTATCAAAAGCAAGAAGAAAAATTATATTTGGTCCAAGATTGTTCTTATTTATCCAAGTATACATACATGATCTACTCCTTCATATTGTTAACCATCACTGGCAAATAAGTAATGCAGTGTCAGTAGACCTCTTATTTCGTGTATGATAGAACTAAGTCACGCAAGTTTTCTGCAACTCTACTTTCTGTATGTGGTCATGATCTTTCCAGCTTGGAAAAATGATGTTTCACAGATAACTGATATTTACCTAACGAAATCTGAAGACCACCACCAAAAATTCTAACAGGTAAGAAAATTTTCTAATTTGCTAAGAAATGACCAACTGTCCTAAAAACCATTATGAATTAAAAAAAAAAAACACAAAAAAAACCAAAAAACAAATGTGTCTATGTTACCATAGACAAGATAATGCAATAATGCAAAGAGTGATTAAACTTTTAACATGGGTTTAAGTTCTCAATTACATTTATAAGTCACTGGCTCTCTTTGACCACAATTTCATTATATATCCAGCCTTTAAAAAAAACAGCATTTCTTTAACTCTTTTTAAGTCATAGTTTGTAAGATGCTAATGTTTTTTCAAAGTATTGACTAACATGTGTTGAACATTTCATCTTTGTATCTGAATCTTTTTACTGTTTGAAATCTAGTAAAAAGATTACTAAAAGGGCTATCTCAGTTACTCCTGGAGCTGTTTCACCTCATCTTATTCCTTTATCTTGGAGTTCTCTTCTTCCCCAACTGTACTTGTAGAAACCTTAAGACATTCTTAACAGCCAGGACGAACTCCACCCTCTTACAGAAACTTTTGGATGGGATCTATGTACTCAGCAATGTTTTACCTATCTCTCCTTAAAACACTTCATCACGTTCTGCCTTGACTTACAACTTTTATGGACTTGCCTTATCCTTGCACAGCTTTCTTAGAGCAAGGGTAGTATCCTGCTCATGTCTACAGGTGTGTACTACAGAGCAGGAGTTCAATAAATGTCAAACTGAATTCCTATTTCTTAATCTAGTGACTCTGCTGATCTGGTTCTTTTTTAGCACCCTTGGATTAAACTCAACCCCACTGGACTGCTTATTGAGTAATTCAAGTGCCTTCTTCTTCTGCCTTATTCTCCATTTCTTTAAAGGTAGTTCTTGTCCATAAAATTATAAAGGATAGTTTACTAAAGTTTTAGTACTTTTTGAAAAATTTTCTCTTTCACATATAGAAAGCCTTACACATTTTTTAATTTCAGACAACTTACCTTTATCTTGATTTGATTTTCAACATTTACACTCAGGTTATTTAGTGCATTTAAAGCTTTCTCTTTAATACTGTGGTCTGGATTGTTGATTTTGTTTCCAACAATTGGAATACCACCCAATTCACGAATAATAGCCTAACAGAAGAAAACAGGACCATAACTTCAATATATATCCCTTCCATTGAATTCTGTGCCTTTATAAATACAGTTAAAAACTAATCACTTAAACAAAATGTTTCCGCATATACAAATCTTATAGTAATTACTAGTAATTTTTAAAGATTAAGTTTGGTTTTTAAACTGATACATTAAAACTCAAAAACTGTATATGTTAATGGAGTACTTTGTGATGTTTTTATATATGTAGACATTGTATAATCTGGTTAAACATATCAATCTCCTGAAACATCACTTTTTAATGGTGAAAACATTCAAAATTCTTTCTTCTAGCTTTCTGAGAGATATGGTACACAATCATTATCTATAGTGACCCCATTGTCTATCCAAAATTTAAGAGGTAAAAAAATTCCTTGAAAAAGAAAATTCAGATATGTGATTATTTAAATACTGACATGGAGTTACCTGTAGAGCTACTGTAATGAAGCAATTTACAAACAAAATTATTTTACAGTGAAATGAATTATATGACTTTTCTATTACAGGCCAACCTGGAAAAGTATTATAGTTTGGAATACAGTAGTAAAACAGCGTTTATGCACATATATTCTTTAGAACACTAATCCTTCAAGATGTTATTAGATATTACACTAAAAAGGGTTATAAAGTTATATAAATTTGGGAAACTGTGGGTAAAACAAGAGTAAACATGTTTATTGTGCACTGAGAATCTCTAACAGGGAAGTACTGACTAGTACTTCCATGAACTATACACAAGAAGTATATATTATTTTTCAGTGTTGGGAGTGAGAACATACTAACATCTTGCAGAACTGGAATTCTACACAGTTTGAAAAATGGTGCCCAGATTTCCCAAGGAAAAATAATCTGATAATTCATGCAATTGCAACTTTATGTTACAATGTGTCTTTGGTCACAACACTGAAAGTAATATCAATTGCTTAAATTCTTATAAGAAAAATAAACTAAAAATTACTCTTATTAGGTCAGTCATGGCATTCTGTTACAGAAAGAGAAAAATGATTGCCATCATCTACTTTTTATAAACAGTCCAACCTTCTCCTGTTAAGGGTGGGCTTAGCATTGGAGAAAAACACCCCCCTCCCCAGTTCCAGGCTCTTTTGAAGGACTTCTAGTTATTAGAAATCAATTTTTTTTTTCTTTTTTTTAAACTATGTATATAGTTCTGAGTTGCTTAACAATAGGAATATATTCTGAGAAATGCTTCATTAGGCCATTTCATCATTTGCAAACATCATAGAGCATACTTGCACAGGCTAAGACAGCTACATCACTAAGCGATATAATCTTATAGGACCACCATGGTATATGAAATCCACTGACAAAAACATTATGTGACATGATAGAGATCAACAAATTATTATTGATTGTGAGGGTCACTGACCCGCAATTGCTCCCGTGGCTGTGGACTTGCCTGACTACAACTTCAAGGATATAGAACTATGGCAACACAAATACTTCTATATGAGAAAGCTAACAAATCTGTCACCATCTACTGTTTTTCATTGTCCACTGCTTCTCTGTCCACTGAGGTAGACTCAGCACTTCCTCTATCCTACATAGTGACTGGTAGGACTATTGATCAACAGAATTCACATCCATCCCTGCTGTGGTTGTAGGATGTATATATAAGTTGGGCCTTATCAATCAAGATCCACAGTCCCTTGCTTCAGAAATTGATCCAAAGGGTGTGGTACTTGATCCTAGCAGAGTAGCACTGCTTTCTGGATCATGAACTACAGGGAAAAAGTCTTGAGAGACCAGTGGCTTTCTTTCTATTCCTTGAAACAAACTTTTTTTTATGGCCAAAAACCAATATATAAAAAGAAGCAGGCACAAGCAGAGCTAAAAGGTGGAGAAAGAGCTCTGATAACTCTACAGTCCTAAACTCACTCAGTTATGCCTGAATTTAGTGCCATTCTTACATGTTCAAGTTAGATCATCTCAATATTTTCCCTTTTTGGCAACTGAAATAGAATAATGCTTAAACATTTTTGAGTATCTCCCTAAAAATGGCTAAAGCTTTACAGTAAACCTTATCATTCTGAAGAAAACTGAACTGAAATAAACTATAAATTCAAAATGACTTTGCATTTATGAAAATGTTAACAAAAGGCATTAGCTAAAAAAAATTACAAAATGTTTTCAATGGGGAGGGGATGGGGTGAGAAGGAAGCATTCAAATTAAGCACTTTAGTTTTAGTGTTAAGTCTCTACTTGTAGAAGCCATTTACGTTGATTTAGTGGTCATCAGAGTTTGGTCCAGAGACCACCTGCATCAGAACCATACTGATAAGATCTGTAATACAATTTAAAGCATGTACTTAAATGTTAGGTGCTTTCCTTTACTGAAGCACTGCCACATGGTGAATAGATAGAGTGACCAGTTTCATAGGCTGTGCCTTTCGGAAGTAAACAAACATGTTATAGGCATAAGTAGCCATATTGTATAGATGAGGAAATGGGGCTGTGAGAGGTGAAGTAACTTATCCAGGGTCAGGATAGAAGGATCTTGTTTTGCTTGTTTGAATGAGGGTGCTTACTTGATTAGCTGAAAAGGCTGCATTGTTACCCACAGTGACCAAGGCTCTTTCAATGATTACAGGATCCTCAGTTGACTCAAGCAGGTAAAGGAGTTTCTGAAGTTGCTCAGCATTTAGGACATCATCATAGGAAGCATTGGTTAAGTCTTCTGCATAAAAAAGCAAATAACTCAATGTGTTGTTAATTATAAAAACATTATCAGACACAGACTCTGATGCTAGGTACAGTTTTAAGCACTATACATGTTTTATTTAATTGAATCCTTAAGTATCCCTAGGAAGAAGATATGACTATTATTTTTAATTTATAGATGGGAAGTTGAGGTTCAGACATCAAGAAACTGGTTGATAGTCATGTGAGATATATATATATATATATTTTACTACTAAGACACTGCATGCAAATAATATGTATCAGTCAAGCATTTTATTTCTTTCTCAAAATCCAGGTACATAGACAGGCATGGTGGTGCATGCCTATAATCCTAGGTACTCAGCTAAGATAGGAGGATTACAAGTTCAGGGACAGCCTGGGCAAAGTTAGAAACACAATCTCAAAAAAACAAAATCAAAACCAAACAAACAGAAGGGCTACGGGTATGGCTCAAGTTTCCAATGCTCTCAAATAGTCTTTTAACAGTAGAAGACTTACAAATTAAAGACAGAAAAGATCACCCTTCAAGAGCTGGTGGAATGGCCCAAGGGATAAAGAGCTCCTGCTTAGCAAGCCTAAGGCCCTGATTTCAAACACAAAGTGCCACCAAAAAAAAAAGAACAAAACTGCTACAAAAAAACTAAATAGTTTAAACAATTCTTTAAAAGAAACCAAAACACCCTTCAGAATTTAAGGGTGATGATGACAAATGGGTATTTCTTGTATCTTCTTCAAAGATAAAGGTGTAGCTTTAAAGTTGTAGCATTAAATTTAAGATGATGATTGTGAGAACTGGTAAATTTAAAAGAAAGACTTTGTTACTGTTCATCAGGTTGAATCAGTGTGGTGAGAAGATACATGGATCCAGGTCACCTACCAATGATTTATACAGAATTGTCTCTGACACAGAGAAAGACAACAAATTAGATTTTGTAAGCACGGGTAAATATACATCTTTTAAAAAATTTTCCCTTTGTGACAAAAAGGGAAGACTTCCCTCACTTTTTTTTAGAGTAGTGAATTACAAATTCTTTGGCCCTTTGATATAAATGGAATTTTTTAAAAAGTAAAAGCTAGTTTTAAAATCTAAGTTTTTCCTTGAAAGGCTTGGAAACCCTCTCTTTGAAATGTAAACATGAAGGAAGATAAAGCACCAGTCTCAGTTCTTAGCCTAGGCACCATATTCTGTATTTTAAACTACCTGCTTATCATAAGGATGCCTCATTTTTCTTCGGGGTAAAGGCAATTAGCTAACACAAATAACTGCCCCAATTATCAGTGAATTTGGGATGAACTATGTATAGCAAACGGTGCTCTCAAGTTCTCTACTTAAAGATAGGTTACTGTATACTTGAGTTGTATCTGTCCTGCTACACAAAGAGGTGAGAAAACTCTTTGTTTTCGGAATTCCATTAGCAGATTGCCTGTGATGTTCGAGGGAGAATGGTTTAATGCTTATTAAGTAATAAAGCTGTTTGGTTCTCTGCATTTTCGGAAGACATTTTTTTTTAGATGACAGATTTTTAATTATTTAACAGCTTCCATGACCTGAAACATCCCTTCAGAATATTCAGTAAACCTTTAGAGTTCTGAATGTGCCGATCAACATTTTGAAAGAAAGCAAGTCTCCACCTGGAGGATGTGTCTCTTGTGCACAACGATCGGTTCCAATTACCAAAGCACGCACACACGTGCCTCAACTTGCGAGATGCTGGGCCTTGGTGACTTCGAGGTACCTCCCCTCTCAAAGGCTGGGCAAACTGCAGGCAGAGCTGCCTCTGGCGCCCTTCTTCACGCAGCTGCATGCAGAATGCCTTGCGTGGCTCGGGGCCGCTGCAGCCCTCCCACAGTCGGGTATCTCGTAACACAAAGGCCCAGACAGCAAGATTTAAAGTCAGAGGTAATCAACATGTTTTTGAGAAACCTAGTTCTCGGGGTGACGCCGAACCCAGGCTGGAAAGGGGGCAGTTTTTTTTTCATCCCCGGATTTTCAGCAGAGTGGAAGCATAGAAGGGGTTCGGATTCCACATAAATCAAGGGACGCTCCGCCCTGTCCACCTGGGTTTCCGTCCCTCCTCCAGTTCAGCCTATTGTACTGCCAGGACAGGGAAGACACCGGCGCCTTGTGGCGTCTTCGGCCGCACCTGGCCCAGGGTGGCCTCTGTGTCCCCTCCCTGTCCACGTGCCAGGCAGCCCCCACCGCCTCACCTGCAGACCGCGATGGGCGCAGCCGGCGTCCGTGGCCACCCCGCCGCTGGCCCCGCGTCAGCCTGTAAATGCAGTAGCAGGCGCCGGCGCCGAGGACCAGGCCCGCCGCCACCCAACCCGCAGCCCGCGCGCCGCCCATGCTGCTGCGGGGTCCTGGACACACGCAGGCTCCTACACACGCGGGGCCAGAACGCGACCCCGCGACAGAAAGGAAACAGGATCTACTACCCGCCTCCCCGGAAACCGCCCTGCAGAAATCGTACGCCCTCCCACTTGGCCCGACGCGTCCCTGCAGCTTCCACCGGGTAGGCTGGGACAGTAGGACTCCGTGATCGCGCCGCTTGGAGAGGTGAGCCCCGCCCACCTAAAGCCCCGCCCATCGCCCCGCCCCAGCGCAGCAAAGAGCGCGTGCAGCTCCGTGTTCCGCCGCGTGGTTGCCAGGCAACGCTCCGACGCCGCCAGGAGCACAGTCGCGGCTCCGCGCTGCGGCGCGGGCGAGGTTGACAGAGAGCAGATACGCAGTCCCGCCCCTGACCATGGCCTCGCTACGCACCGCCACCCCTAGGCTGCGGAACTACTTCAAGGACAACTACATTCCTCAGATCTGCGAGGTACTAGAGCCACATGGCGGAAGACACAGATCGAGCGTAGAAGGGGAGGAGTCAGTAGATATTCCCAGAGGAGGGGCTAGGAGCAGCTGCGGGAAGGAAGAGCAAAATCCCAGGGGAAGTCATCCTATTAATCCCAGTGGGTTAATAGGATGTCTGGGCTGGAGATACAGTCCAGGGGCGGTGGTGGCTTAAGCGGAAGAGCGGAGGAATGGGTGACACTTCCCTGGAAGAAAGAGCACCAGGCCTGGGACAGAAACCTCAAATTCCAGCTTTTAAAGTTTGGATCAGAAGTGCCTGAGAACAAGAGGAGTGAGAAAAGTGCCAGAGAAACAGAGGAGGGAGTGGGCACTGAGCATCTAAGATAAGGACCTGCAGAAGTTCTGTGGAGAAGGACCTTCCCAAATCAGGATTGCCTTTGGACAGGGGGGACCTCCATTTAACAAGAGGGAAGGAGGACAGTAGGTGGTGAATAGGTTTTGTGGGTTTGCGGGTAGAAAGCTGAGAAAGTTCTCTGGTGACTTCTATTTTCTCTGCACATAGTTGGTATGTGTTTGGGTGGGAATGGGGATGGTGGTGCAGAGGAAGTTACACGGATAATGAGGGAGAGAAAGATCCAGGGAGGGAAAGAGGAGAACTCAGCTGGGGGGTGGAGTACTCCAATTTAGTATAGCCTTCCTCCTTTTTGGATGGTGTTTTAGAAGTTTTTTTTTAAATCAAAATACGAAGTACAAGTGTTCCTTATTGCCTAAGATAACTTTATCTTGAGGAGTCCTTCATTACCAGTAGTTGCAAGAGAACAGTCTTCTCGGGTCCCGCACACCATCATTCCCTAAGAGACTGTTAAGGTGAATTCCATTCTGCCAGGTATCTCTGTATATCTATTTATCTGACTCAATTTCCTAAGAGGCCTTATGCTATTCTAAAATCCATCTCTTTCAAGTTTTGGAATTTGTAAATTATCTTTCATCATAGATTTCTCTGTATATTTAACCTCTTCTGAACTTCACCTGTGTGTCCTAAGTAAAACCTGGTTATTTATTCACAATATCATTTCCCAACATGCAAGCTTCTTCAGTAAAGTCTGATTAAAAAAAAAAAAAAAGAAATCTTAGCTGGGAGCCATGGCATAGTCCAGCTACTTGGGTGATTGAGGCTGAGGAACTCTTGAGCCCAGGATTTAGAGGCCAGGCTGGACAACATAGTGAATCCTGTCTCATTTAAAAAAAAAAAAAAAGTCTTGCCTGGTTTGCCAGGCGTACTGAATCTGTTGATTAATATTTTTCATCAGTTTTAGAAATGATCACTTTCAACTATTGCTTCTACCAGTTCTCTCTCTCTTCTTCTGGGAACATGCTATTTTTTTTTAAACTTTGTCCTACATACCTCTTTTTTCCTGTTTCTGTTTATATGCTATGTTTTTTTTTTCTGTGTGCTCATTTTTGTATATTTTTCAGTGACTGTTCTCACTTTACTAATTCTGTTTTATGCTATCTCCAATCTGCTTAATGCATCAAATGAAATCTTAGTTTCAGGCAATATGTTTATCAGTCCTAGAGTGTCCACTGATTCTTTTTAATATATTCCAGTTATTAAAAGATGCTATCTTTCCATGTTTCTTTAACATGTTAATAATTGTTGTTTTAAAAATCATTGTCTGGTACCCTGAATGTCTGGATCCTCTGTGGGTCTTCTTCTATTGTTTGTTTGCTTTTATTGATTATTCATCACACTTCAAGCCTCTGCACATATCATGTGATTTATTTTATTGGATATTGTATGAAAAAGAACAATAAACACTCCACATGATATATTCACTTGCCAGAGAGGATTTTCCCCTTCCTTTCTATTTTTTTTATTATCTCTTTTTTTTCTTTATCTCCCCTTCCTTTCTATAGGGAGAAGAGCTGAGGATCTCAATCCAGGCTGGGTGGAGCTGGGCTAAGGCTGCACTGCAATTTTATTTAGATTAGGTCCACATCTGGTTTGTCCTGTTACTTGGACAGAGTTCTTCTGGGTTTAAGATTGAGAAACTAGCAATTTTCTCTGTCTCCTCACTCTGAAAGATTACAAGAGGTTCAGTTTTGCTCTTTACAAGTTTTGAGCTTAGCTCTTCAGCTTCCTACCCAGGCTCCAGCTTTTAAAATCTGCAAACATTGCAGGTCAGGTTAACTGTATGTTAAGGCAGGTATCCTCCCTCTTCCCTGCGATTGTGGCCCACTCTGCCATTTAGGGGTTGTTCTAGCTCCCCAGTTGACTGCATGATTGCTCCCAGAACCCAACAAATGTTATGGGAGAAAGTGACCACATTTTGGGGCACCTCAGATTTCTAATCTATCATGTCAGTCCCAAGCATCCACCAAAAGCAGGCTGTTTTCTCTTCCCACTGTTAGAGTTCCTCTGCCTTAGCCCAGTCCAGTCCTCATTCAAGACCCAGAATTGGCAAATGTCCCAGGGGACAAAGATCTTTGTTTTGTCAGTTCGGTACAGAACATTCTCCCTACTCAGGAATTTCATATTTCTCTAATATCTTTTGACAACTTGATTTTAAAATGACACATCTTTTTTCCTCCCCAGTCGTGTAGTAGGATCCTTAGACTGTAGTACCTTCCTACTTACTAGTCCTCTGGGGGCTATTTCACTGTTCAGTTTGTCTCGGAGCCAGAGCTAGAGTAGATGTCCTTCTTTCTCTCCATGACTACTTCCAAAGTATGTGTCTGTCCCCCCTTTTTTCTAAAACTTCAGCTTTTTAAAAGTTCATAGCATTAGATTAAGTTCTCACTATCTATTATAAAACAACCTTTTGGTTACTCTGTTTCAGTATAACTTCAGAACCTGGCTCACCATTTTTCCTTTTTATCTCTACTGCTATTTTCTTTGTGGTTTCAACATCTATAGGGATGTAGATGGTGCAAAGCTGAGCACATGAGCACCATCCAAAATTCTATCAATAGCAGTGCTAGAGGCCTGGCTCAAGCGGTAGAGCAACTGCCTAGCAAGGGTCAAGCCCCGAGTTCAAACCCCAGTACTTCCAAAACACAAGAGTCTCAAATTCTGCCAATAGGGCACCATTGTGTGGGCTCCTATCTTAATGACTTCTTTGAAAATATCTTTGAGGAGTATCTCCAAAGATGGAGAGATATTAGGTACAAAGAATACCTCAACCTGGATAGGGTGGCTCATAATTGCAGTACTTTGGGAGGCTGAGGCAGGTAGGAAGATCATGAGTTCCAGGCAACTTGGGCTGCATAGTGAGACTCTGTCTCAAAAAAAAAAAAAAAAAAGAAAGAAAGAAAAAGAAAAGCATATGTCAGCAATCAGAGAGAGAAAGGAAGGAAAAGGGTGACTATTGTGAGGGTGAAGGCAGTATAGGTGCTCAATTTTCCTGCAGTTCTAAATGCAGCCCTGATTATCTACATTAGATATTCTTTAAAACTTTGGATTTCTGAAGTATATTTTTTCCTGAGTCATAAAATAATTTATGCAGAGTAAATATTCTATTGTCCAATGTCCAAGTATCTGATCATTTAGTTCATGTTTCAGACTTCAGTTTTTTAAATTAACATTTGAAAAATACATGGTTCACCAGGCATACTGGCATATGCCTGTAATCCCACTACTCAGGAGGCAGTGGCTGAAGGATCATCAATTTGAGGCTAGCCTGAGCTACATGGTGAGACTCTATCTCAAAAAAAAGTCTGGAAATGTAGCTCAGTGGTAGAGCACTTGCCTAGCACATCCAAGGGCCTGGGTTCAGTCCATAGCACCAAAAACTTGGTTCCAAGGTCTCTATATTTCTATATTTATATCTTTGTATAAAAACAGATCTAGATCACAAAGGGTCATTTGATTCTGATAGTCTATGATGGAAAAAACTATCTTGTTGCAAGCTAGGCACATGAACCATGAAAAAAAGAGATTATACCCTGACAGAATGCTGATTGACCACGGTGAATTCAAATTCACTTTCTAAACCTGAAGAGAAATCTTTAAAAAAAGAAATTCATGTGAATCCTCAAAATACAATCCAGATGAAAGCAGATTTTTTTCTTGGATGTACAGGGTGAAGGTAAAGAGAGAAAAAAAGAGTTGGACATCAGAATCCCTGGGATAGTAATTTATAAAGAATAGACAGTCATTTCTTATAGTTCTGGAGGCTGGGAAGTCCAAGATCATGGAGCAGCATCTGGGGAGGGTCTTCCTGCTGCATCATACATGGTGCAAGGCATCATGTGGTCAAAGAGCACATGAGTGGGAGGGAAGGACTGAAGTTGTCCTTTTTTTAATTGTTTTATTATTCATATGTGCATACAATGCTTGGGACATTTCTCCCCCCTGCCCCCACCCCTTCCCTTACCACCCACTCCGCCCCCTCCCTCTCCCCCCCACTCCCTCAATACCCAGCAGAAACTATTTTGCCCTTATTGCTAATTTTGTTGAAGAGAGAGTATAAGCAATAATAGGAAGGAACAAGGGTTTTTGCTAGTTGAGGTAAGGATAGTTATGCAGGGAATTGACTCACATTAATTTCCTGTGCATGTGTGTTACCGACTAGGTAAATTCTTTTTGATCTAACCTTTTCTC